CACCCCCGTTGCAGTACGAGCCGCGCGGCGTGTCCTGCCGGGAGGCCGTGAATGAGTGTGACATCCCCGAGAGCTGCACCGGGGACTCCAGCCAGGTGAGCCGGGCTGGGGGAGACCGGAGGGGGGACACGTTGCACGGCCACGTGGCATCACCCATCCTCTTCTGTGTCTTCTCAGTGTCCCCCCAACCTCCACAAGCTGGACGGCTACTTCTGCGAAAACGAGCAGGTGAGTCCGTCCCGGTGTAACTCCAGCATGTCCCCATGGGCTCCAGCATCCCGGTGCTCGTGCACGCCGGGCACTGCAGCCATGGCTGAGCCACGCACGCACGCACACACACACGCGTGTGTGGGTTTGGGCTGAGCTGTCTCCTGCAGTGGCCGGGTCCCCGGGCTGTGTAAGCACTCCCGGTGCACCCGTCCATCGTGCCCACGCTGTGTGTGGCTGGGGCTGTGGTCCCTGTGCCACGCGCCTTCCCTGGGCACGTGGATCCCGCAGGTTTTCCCAGCGGTGATGGGCCGTGCACGACTCCCCTTGTCCATGCGTGCGCGTTTGTGGGGCTGTGTGCCCCACTGTCCCCTGGCTGTGCACACAGGTGGCTCCCCAAACCACACGGTGGTCCTGGAGCCGAGCACGGGCATGGTGGTGGGCATCATCCTTGCACCACCTCGGTGGCCACACACACGCAGGTGCAAGCCCCTCCCCATCCCCCTGACCCCGCTCCCGCTCCCCAGGGACGATGCTACGGCGGGCGCTGCAAAACCAGAGACCGGCAGTGCAACGCGCTGTGGGGCCGCGGTAAGTGTCGGCCCCGGGGTGGCTTTTCCGAGGCGGGGGGGGACGCAGGAGGTGACAAGTGGGTGACATCTGCTTTCTCCCAGGCTCGGCCGAGCGTTTCTGCTACGAGAAGCTCAACGTGGAGGGGACCGAGAGGGGCAACTGCGGGCGCGAGGGCCTGGGCTGGCTGCAGTGCAACAAGCAGTGAGTGAGCCCTGTCCCTCGTGTCCCCTCCCCCGTGCCACCCACCCACCCCGGGGATGCCACCGGTGCCTTGCAGGGACGTCCTCTGTGGCTTCCTCCTCTGCGCCAACATCTCAGGCGCGCCCCGGCTGGGCGGGCCCAGCGGCGAGAGCGCCC